TCAGTTTCCAGAACTGACTGATGTCTTAAACTTGTCTGTGGGAATTGGTAACAAGCAGATGCCTGATGTCACTCTGGAAATTTTGATGTGGTGGATCTGGGGTGGGACCCAAGGATCTTTGGTTAAACTAATTGCACAGGTGATTTAGGCACAGCCAGTTTGGGGAACCACTGGGCCAAAGGATAGATTGTATAAATTAGAACTTTCAACCCTGGCTGTGCATTATAATCACCTAGGAAGTCTTAAAAATGCTCAGCCTCACCCCAGAGCCATTAAATCAGAATCTCAGAATATTCAGGCATCAGCATTTTTAAAAGCTCTTTGGGGAATTCTACTCATAACAGAGCCACTGTTATAAAACACTATTGATTAATGCCAATATCAGTATACAAATTATTTTCATAAAACTAACTGGCAATATTCTGTTGAACAGAATTTTTTTTAGGTGAATATGATTCTTTTGTGTGATTTCAATTATCTAAAAAAGCATATTTCTAATCTAAATCCATTTTCTATATTTTAATACATTATAGATCTAAATTTCTGATTTTGCGTCATGCTGTATCAAAATTTGAATTGGGATGGAAGCAAACGAGGATGATATTTACAATTTAGAAATTTACATTTAAAATTACACTAAAAGGAGAAAGCATTAGGCTCAAACCAGAAGGAAAGACCTTAAGTCTTGCTATGAGGCAAAAGGGAGAATGTGTCAGATCTGTCAGAGAATTTCAATATCAGATGCTCCAAAAGATAAACATAAATCTGATGTTACATGCTTTTATAGACAACATGTTCTAATTTCTTGTTGAGGGTTTTGCTTTTGAAAAGAATGAAGAATTCTCTTAGACGAAGTGTTAAAAACAACAACAAAACAAAACAAAATCAAAAGAGGGAGATTCATTTAGGTTAGCTGAGCAGAAAGAGAAGATAAATGCAGGACTATCTTTTCAAGAGAAAATGATAGAACAGTCCATTAAGATTACATAAATCATAAAATGGCTCAAGGCAGATATGAATGATTCTTTCAAATATTCATATTTAACCAATGCATCTAAGTATCTACAAAATGTTCTATATGCAGTGATGGGAAAGACGGCCTAGATTAGGCTGACAATGCAGAATACATCTTGAGGAAGCAGTTAAAAATCTACATTATGATCATTGTTATTTAACTAAAGCACATGCAGTTTTCTTTCAAAGCTGTCATTTAGCTTTTAAAAGCACTGTGTCTAAAAGTGAAAACACTGTAGCCCACTAAATGTATTTTTTTAATTGGCAGCTCATTTTCTATAAGGCAGCAAAATATTAAAAAGCAGGCATCCAGTCATGCTATTTGCCATTATATTATGCCATGTTTTATATACCTTTCATTGATTTCCTCAAACGACTTAGGGAGAAAGAGAGAGGAAGGAGGAGAAGGAGAGAGAGAGAGAGAAAAAGAGAGAGAGAGAGAGAAAGAGAGAGAGAGAGAGAGCTAATTAACAACAGAAAGAAACACCAACCAGGAGCATTAAGATTATCCACGTTTGAAAATCATAACCCCTCAGCTTCCCTGAGGTCACTTTTCTTTGGTGGCCTCAGCCTGGGCAGCAAAGACATAAGTGCTCAGAAGGCGGGGTCGTGGGGGAGTGGGATGGGCAGTGTCAGGGCAGGGATGGAGGGTGCTTTCGTTTGCAGTTGGCCCCGTCTCTATGATCAGCGACTGGCAATGAGTCATTTATGCTCTGCTTCTCTCCATTCATCAACCAATGGCTTAGCTTCCAGAACAGAATTCTCTAAAGCAGGAAAAATGACGGGATAGATATCAAAAATGTAATCAGTATTTATCTGAGTGATATTTTCTGGGTGCTTTTCTATATTTTCCAATTTTTAAAAAAATGGGTAATGTTATAAGTAGGAAAAATGCCTTCTTTTTTTTCTTTTTCAATTTGTTCTTCTAAAAAGAAGTAAATTATTCTTATTCTCATCAAACAAAGATAAGCTTCTCAGGGAATAAAAAGCACTTTATTAATGTTATGCTTCACAAGAAGTGCCCAATTTATGAATAAGAAGCTTTGTCTTAATTACACACAAAACAATGTAATGAGTTTAGTTCTCTTTAAGGATGGCCATGTCCACTTCACTCAAATTTGCCCTGGCAAAAGGTGTCCCCAGAGGCAAATCAAAAGGCTAACATTATCCCATTTTGCCTTGCTGTATCTCCAACATTTGGGTGGGAAGATGGGGAACTTTGAAAGGGAGGTTCCTGGTCATCCTAAGAGCGGTACTTCCCCCGCCCCCAACATCTCCACTATTTCTGCTGAATCCTGGCTCCATTGAGAGCCAGCATCTCACAGAATATTCTGGGGATTGACGGGAGCACAGAGTTGTCTCTGCTGGCGCAATTTGAAGCACCCAAGGGAATTTCCATGTTTACAAATTACTTGCTTGAATTAAGGAATCCTGCCCCCAGGAATCCCCTTGTAAAAGCAGCAACATGTTTATTACCTGAGAGGATACCCCATTATGCCATCCTTTTGCACACCCAAATATTACTCTCTGGTCAGGCTCAGAGGGGGCGTGGTCCACATGAGTGGTCACTTCAGCTTAGGGAGTGGAGGGGACAGCCCTGGGAGCTAGCCAGAGGACGTGAGCTGGCCCTCAGAGGGAAAGCATAGCAGGAACAAGACTGCTTTCCCTCCCTCTTAGATGGTGACCAATCCAGTAGGACACAATGGAATGATGATGCTATGAGCTGTCTCCATGTATCTTTCAGCTGGATCTGGGCAGGGAGGCTTTTAGGGTTTGCTAGGCCTTTTCTATAGGCATCAGCCGTGCCCAAATAATGTTTAAATGCCAGAATTATATAAATCCCACACAGAGATATAAATAATCTTAAGGAATAGTGAGAGATGAAGCTTTAAAAGTAGATGTGCCAGAGTGGGCGCAAGGTGTTTGAGCCCGTTTTACTTGGCACTTACTGTCAGGAAGACGGCCTCGTCGAGCTCCTCTGCTTCTCTCACGATAGTCTCCAGGGTGTCCTTGGCAGTGTCCATGCTCTGAAGAAAGTGGACCATCTGCTCATGCAGGAATTCCATCTTCTTCTTCTTCACTTCCTCAAAGCTCTGGGCTTTCTCATCATACTGTGCTAAAACCTTCTTCATCATTTCCTCATTCTGTTCTTCTAGCCTTTTCTCATTTTTACTACAGTTTTCCTGAAAACAAGCAAAAAAAAATCCTTTTCTGAATGAAATAAGAAATGCATGCTTCTTCTTTTTTTGTTTTTGTTTTTTTGTTTTAAACACCAGCCTTTTAAAGAACTGACCTCTGGCATCCTGATCAGAAAATCAGACATCACATGCACAGTTCCAATTTCTAACCTACCAATCCCTTTCACACAATTAACTTTGCAATAAAGCAATAGAATTTACTATAAGTGTCATCAAAAAGGTTTTAGCTACCATAATACAAATGTGTGTGTGTGTGTGTGTGTGTGTGTATGTGTCTGTGTGTGTGTTTGTATGGAAGTCTTGCCCACCTGCACTCACACATGATGAAACTTTTTTGAAAATGGCATCACAGTGGGTGAGGATCCCTGGCCTTCAGAGAGTGGAGAGGCATCGCTCCATTAAAATCACAGCGCAAGGCAGAAAGCAGCCCACATATGGAACAGGGGGCTACCTCCCCAAATGTTCTACAGTGAGGTGGCAGGTTATCCCACAGGGGGAGAAATTTCATTGCCTGTCCAGACACACCCAGATGCCTGGCTGTCCTCGCTAGTAGGGCTAGTAATAAGATGATCCCATAATTTACTCTCTACAAAGGACACCTGGGGAAGGGGACACCAGAAATATCTAGCGAGTATTAGTTGACCTACAATTGGAATTAAGCAGACCTCTCACAAGCGAACTGGGATGTGGAGTGGCCCCAGTAGTAGGGGAACTGTGCAGCAGCCTCTGTAGTGGCCTCAGGCCCTCTGCCAGTCCTGATTGACTGGTGAGGGTACTGGGCCATTTCTGTATAAGGATGGAGCATTGCTAGCCCCTCTCTTCCCCACAGAAGGGACAGGAGCCAGCAGCTAGGAGAGCATGAACTCATCAGAAATAGTCGTGCTATGAGAGGCACTCACTGGCCCTGGGAATGGGATACTGGACAGTGACTCAGAGTATTTCTGCAGAGTTAACCCAGTAAGCAGCATGAAAACAGAGGAATGGACTTTAAGACTTGGTTTCTTATCTATAAAATGGAAACAATAATAATAACACCCTCTCTCGTATTATTGTGAGGATTCAATTAGGTAAAGCATGTAAAGCATTTGCCTTATTATAGTAAGTGCGTAATAAATGCATGTCTGTTGTTAAGGGCAAATCTTTTATCCACAGACAGAAAGGAGTCTCACTGATTATGCACAGAGAGAAGACTTTAGGCATCCTTGCTTTGAATGGAACTGAACCAACAACAGCAAACAACACATGCACCCAAAAACCCCAAGTCAGATCCCTCTACCTCAGAATCATTTATTTCTGATACTGTGAACAAGCCAAGTTAAAGTAAAATGGGTGTGTTCACTTACCTCAATGGTATTAAAAAAGGATTCTATCTCACTAACAAAGGCTTCAATCCTCAAGGACTTTTCTTGTAAATTTTCTAGAAAGTCTGCTAATTGAACCTGAAGAAAAGAATTAAGATACCCTTAGTATATGACATTTAGGAAAAGAACTTCAGCCAGTGGGCTCCAATTTCCTTATAAATTTAGTATGTTTGGTAGAGATTTGCCATACTATATCCACTTAAATATAGTTAACAAATCAACCCTTAAATTTTCTTTGCTGCCTCATCTGACTATAGATAATTCTGTATGATAAACAATTAGGAGGTTTTGAGTGAAAACCTCAAAGCAACTATACAAAGACAGTATATCTTCTTAAGTGAAAGAAAGGACTTTCTTGGTCAACTGATGAGCTCAAAACATACTTGTTTTAATGAACTATGGGTGCGAATGCTTTCTCTTTAGTAAGGCCTTGGTTTTTATATGTTCTGAGAGAGGAGTCTTTTTGCTAAACTGGTCCAAAATACCTGAGTAGTTTCTTCACATTTACACCAAATGTGAAGAAGGCTGAAGAAGGTGATCAGAGTGCCACAAGGCCTGAAGTCTAGCATACCAACTGAGAGAAGCTGTTTACTAAAGGGACCTAAAGTTCTAATGACCCTCAAAGGGTTAACATATCAAGGGGTGATAGCCAACTAGAAAATGTATGGGGTGGCAGGGTAGCATGGTATCTACTTTAGCCATAGTTATAAACCTAGCAACAGTCAATCTTGCTAAACTTAAAAAGATAACAAAGCAGAAAAAACAGCAGAGCTTCAGCTGTCTGATTCACAAGCACAGACTGATGAAGACACTACATTGACGGAGGCCTCTTCAGGATCTGGTCTCTCCTTCCCTCTACGGCCCTTACCTCTTCTCCACAGCCCCAGGCTCCAAACACACAAGCTGAATTTTGTCCTTGCACTCTTTGTCATCTGTGTGCCTTCGTATGTTATTCCTTGGTTCTAGAATGTTGTCCCAGCCCTTGACTGCTAGAAGAGCTCTATCTCATTTAAGACTCACCCAAGCTTCACCTTTTAGAGACACCTTTCCTAACATTCCCCTTCCCACCCCACCATTTCACTCCCAAAATGTTAGCTTCTCAGCACATTGTGCTTTCACAACCTTGTATCGATTTGGTCCTTTTTTTTCCACTCTCAATGATTAGCACAGTTCCTGACGCAGAATGGGAGAAAAATAAACATTGAGAATGCAGGAAGGGAGTTAGTAAATAAAGAAACTAGATAACATATAAAAGACAAGCATATGATGGGGATGGACTAGGGAGGAGACACAAGGACCTGGGTGATCCATACCTGCAGCCCTCGGCTCCTGGAACAGGCACAAATGCCTATCCTTAAGATGCTAGAGAACTCTCAAGCTACAATGTTTTTAATTGATTTTTATTTTTAAAAAGTTGCCAGCTGACCAGCTGCAGTGGCTACTACCTGAAATCCCAGCACTTTGGGAGGCCAACGTGGGAAGATTGCTGGTGGCCAGGACTTAGAGATCAGACTGGGGAACATAGTGAGACCTCGTCTCCACTAAAAATTTTTTTTTTTTTTGAGACAGAGTTTCGCTCTCGTTACCCAGGCTGGAGTGCAATGGGGCGATCTCGGCTCACCGCAACCTCTGTCTCCTGGGTTCAGGCAATTCTCCTGCCTCAACCTCCTGAGTAGCTGGGATTACAGGCACGCGCCACCATGCCCAGCTGATTTTTTGTAATTTTAGTAGAGACGGGGTTTCACCATGTTGACCAGGATGGTCTCGATCTCTTGACCTCATGATCCACCCACCTCGGCCTCCCAAAGTGCTGGGATTACAGGCTTGAGCCACCGCGCCCAGCCCTCCACTAAAAATTTTAAAAGTAGCTGGGTGAGCCGGGTGCGGTGGCTCACGCCTGTAATCCCAGCACTTTGGGAGGCCGAGGCGAGTGGATCACGAGGTCAAGAGATCGAGACCATCCTGGTCAACATGGTGAAACCCCGTTTCTACTAAAATTACAAAAAATCAGCTGGGCATGGTGGCGCGTGCCTGTAATCCCAGCTACTCAGGAGGCTGAAGCAGGAGAATTGCCTGAACCCAGGAGGCAGAGGCTGCGGTGAGCCGAGATCACGCCATTGCACTCCAGCCTGGGTAACGAGAGTGAAACTCCGTCTCAAAAAAAAAATAAATAAATAAATTAAATAAAATAAAATAAAATAAAAGTAGCTGGGTGTGATGGCACGCGTCTGTAGTCCCAGGTACTCAGGAGGTGGAGGTGAGAGGATTGCTTGAGCCCAGGAGGCTTCAGTGAGCTGTGATGATCATGCCGCTGCACTTCAGCCTGGGCAACAGAGTGAAACCCTGTCAACGACGAAAGAAAAAAGAAAGGAGAAGGGAGAAGGAGAAGGGGAAGAGAAAGAGAAAGAAGAAGAAGAGGAGGAGAAAGAAGGGGAGGAGGAGGAGGAGGAGGAGGAGGAGAGGAGAAGGAGGAATTGCCAATCAACCAATTCTTATTAATCTTCATGGCTGACTTAATGAAATGAAGCTAGCTCCTCGATTTTAGTCAACTGGGTTTCTACCTTCTCCTTCTCATACCGTTTAGAGAAGATCAAGAATAAAAAAAAAAATTTAAAAATGATTTTAAGGCAAGAGTTTTAAATTGATAATACTTAGATGATTATTTTTTAATATCTAAAACTCATGGAGATAAACAAAACATATTAAGAAGGCCAAAAAATTTCAGTCTTTTTTCTGCAGGCAGTGCTCAGTAGGTGTGAGTTAAAACAGTGTTGCTATAGAATGGGGCCTACTTCCACTGGCACTAATGCATCTGATATCTGAGATTTCGCAAAAGAAGTTGGCCTACTTCCTAACCTCAAACTTTAACAAGTAAAGTTTCCACAACATTCTACTCTGAAGAACAAAAACCAATATCAGACAAGTTGAAAAAGATCAATTCTGGGGGGAAAAATGCCAAGACTGTAATATGTTACCCTATTGAATCAAAATGAGTCTAATAATTATTTAACAAGGACCTAATTGAATTATCATATTGAAAATAATTACTATTAGCAAGGTACTGAGCCAAGCAATATGCATATACAGTCAAGAACATGAGCTCTGGCATCAGACAGATCTGGGTACCAACCCCACTTCCACCTTTCATGACCTTGGGTAAATCACTTAAACCCTCTGAGATGATTTTATTATCTGCAGGCTGATGGCAGTAACAGGTCTGTTAAAAGGATTAAAAGAAATCCTGTATATAAAGAACTTAAGATTGGGCATGGTGACTCACACCTGTATTCCCAGCACTTTGGAAGGCCAAGGCGGGAGGATCGCTAGAGCCCAGGAGTTCTAGACCAGCCTGGGCAGCATAGGGAGACCCTATCTCTACAAAAAAGAAAAATTAAAAATTAGCCCAATGAGGCAGTGCATGCCTACAGTCCCGGCTACTTGGGACTTGGGAGGCTGAGGTAGAGGGATCATTTGAGCCTGGGAGGTCAAGGCTGCAGTGAGCTGTGATTATGCCACCACACTCCAGCCCAGGTGACAGAGCAAGACCCTGTCTCTAAAAAACAAGAACAAAAACAAAAAATAGGGCCTGACAGAGTAAGTGCTTAATCGTTATTGTTATTTAGTAATTTTAAGATAATTCCAGCTGCCCTATGGAGAATGTATTAAAAAAGAGGTAAGAATGGTGAGACCAGTAGGAGGGCTATTAAAAGGTAGAGGGGAGTCTCAAAGACTAAATTCCAATAGTATCTCAGGGAAGTGGAGTATTTATAGTCACTCACAGGAGGATACGTGTTGGGACTAACTTAACCAGAAAATTGGGATCCAACAGACATAGCCAGAAAAAATGCGAAAAAAATCTGCTTCTAACGTAAATTTTATAAATTAAAGTGAAATACAGAGAAAGTAAAAATGTAAACTGTCTTAATGTATTGAGTACATATAACTTGCAATGAAATTTCTCAATGTAATATAAATGTGTCTTTTTAAAGGATGAAATTGTAGATAACAGAAAGGAAATTGTTTTTTGCAGTGTCTTGCTCAAAGGTAATTTTTAAATTTCAAATTATTTGGCATTTTGGGTCATGTTAAGGGCTATTGCCATAAAATGCCAAGCTCCTGAAGGGCAGTGACCCTGTGTTGTTTATCTTGCTAGCTCCCAATCCTAGAAATATGTGTGGCACACAGCGTATTCACAGTCATCTTCAATATCAGCAGAGGACTGGTTTCAGGGTGCCAGCGGATACCAAAATACCTAGATGCTCAAGTCTCTGATATAAAATGGCATAGGATTTGCATATAACCTGCATACATCCTCTCCTATACTTTAAATCATCTCTAGATTACTTATAATACCTGATACAGTGTAAATGCTATGTAAATAGTTACACTGTATTGTTTTTTATTTGTATTATTTTTATTGCTCTGTTATTTTTATTATTTATCTTTTATTTTATTTTTGAGACAGGGTCTCACTCTGTCACCCAGACTGAGTGCAGTGTGTGATCTCAGCTCACGGTAACCCTGACCTCCCAGGCTCAAGTGATTCTCCTACCTCAGCCCCCCAAGTAACTGGAACTACAGGTGTGAGCACCACAGCCAGCTAAATTTTGTATTTTTAGTAGAGACAAGGTCTCCCTATGTTGCCCAGGCTGGTCTCAAACTTCTGGGCTCAAGCAATCCTCCCACTTCGGCCTCTCAAAGTGCTGAGATAATAGGTGTGAGCCACCACACCCTGCCCCCTTCTATTGTTTTATTTTTTCCCTGAATATTTTTTGACCTGCACTTGGTGATTCTAAGGATGCAGAACCCAAGGATAAGGAGGATGGGCTGTACACAATGAATGTGCATCAGACCTACATTAACTAATTCTTGGAGCAATTCTTAGTTGTTTTCAGACTATTCTGCTTAAAGATGAATGATCAAATATGAATCATCTTTAAAACTGACGAAATGTGAAAACAAATTAAATGTATATATATTATTAATTATATGTGCGTTTTAAAATCTATTTACCTTTACAGCACTTATAGCTGTATCAAGCGTTGAAACCTCATGGTCTTTGTGGGTGCCAAACACCTTGTCAGTGGCAGAAATTGGGCTTTTGCAGGTGTAGCAGTATGTGTCAATCTGGGATTTTTTTGGCTCTTTTTGTGCCTTTTCAGTTACAAACTCGGATGATAATCGGTCTTGCTCTTTCCTCTCGCTGCCCAACTCCTTCTGTTCAGCAGATGTACTTTGTTCTGCCTCACTCACAAATTCATTTTCACTGATGTGCTCAAAGGATTCCTTTCCTTGAGATAAGACATCTTCAGGTGTAGATTCTGAAGACAGTTCTTCTGATAAAATGCCTTGAGGAACAACTTCATAATGCAGGGATTCCGCAAATTCATACTCATCCTGAACAGGGCTATTACGGAGCCTCTCTTCACTTGGCTCAGGTGGGACCAGGATTTTAAGTTCTTCTAGCGGTGTTTCTTGAACATGAGATGCACCAGATGCAAATTCTTCCTCCGGGAAGGACACTTGTACTGGAACATTCAGATTGACCTCTGAATTTGCATTTCCGGCTTCATTATCCTCACTGCCTGCTTCATCTGTGCGCTCCAGAACATGATTGGTGTCTTCAAATGGAACTGCATAACTTATCTTCTGGGTAGCCACTCTGACTTCCTCTGTGATGGGAGCTTTCTTCTGCATTGCCATATTACCAAGGATCTCCACATGGCCTACTGATTCTCCTTCCCCATAAACAGCTTTCTGTTCTTCCAGGCTCTTCTCCTTGTGAATAGTTCCAAACTTCCCCCAATTTTCCCCTTCTGCAGCTATTGGTTGGTATGAATCATCCTTACCAACTCGTTTTTCTTCCAGACCTTGGTCTCGGTCCTTTTGAGTTACAGATGTGTCATGGAGAATGTCATCTTTGAGTATATACTTCTCAAAATATATTCCTGTTCCATCATCAGTGTCAGAATTTCTGCTGGGAAATGATGCCTCAGAATTCACACTGTCACACTCAGAAACTGTCTCCTCTTCCTTCTTTTTCTCTCCAACTGCTTCCTCATACAGATCCTTATATAAAAATGCAAGTGCAGGGGGCTCCTCCAGAAGTTCTGGATTAATAGCTTTAATAGTGGTAGGAAATATCTGGGTTCGTGACAAAACTCCTTCCTCTGCTTCAAATAAAGGCATCCCAAGCGACTTTGAGTCCACATCTCTCTTTATGTCCTTTGAAACATTTCTGTCAGCTGATTTTTGGATACCCAAAAACTTTTGGGTCTCTGGATGAGATAATACATCATGGTCCTTTTCTGGTCCATAAAAACTTTCATCTAATTTCACCAAGTCATACTCATGTTCTAGGGTGCTTTCCACTGAACTTACTGGGAAAGAGATCATTTCTTCTGTAACTTCCTTTGAGAGTTTCTCTTCAACATTTAATTTCTGTGGAGCTTTCTGTTTTTCTGGGTCTGGAGAGATGTTATAATCAATTAAAGTATATTTTTCAAAATAATCCTCTTCACTGGGAATTGTGGCCTGAATAAAAGATAAATCACCGGTTTCTGAATCTGTGGATATCTCTTCTTTTGCCTTATGAGTTTCCTTTTGTTTATTTTCTTTCAGTGGTATAACTTTTTCATCAGAATCTTCTAACCTGCTCTTTAATGTTTCATGACAAGGAACTGCTTCACTATTATCAGGGAGTGGTGGTATGGTTTTAAATGAGAGTTTCTCTTCCAAATATTCTAACTTATCTTGCATTTGTTCACTTTCTTCCTGATCAATTGAAGAAATAAAGGCAGGAGCATGAATATTCAATATTTCACAGCCTTCAGAAATAATACTAAAGGCAGTCTTCTGATCTTCTGAAAGTCCAGCTGGCTTACTAGTCACTGTAAAGTCTTCATCTTTTGCATATGTGTCTTCAGTCTCCTTGGACATTTCTTTAGCAGAAACCATTGTATCAGCATTGCTTGCTGATGCATTAGATATAAATTGAGCATAGTTGCTCTTTACTGAAGAGAGTGGTTCCTTTACACCGGTGTCTTCCACAGCCTCCAACTGGTGCTTTGAAACAAGAACAGATTGTTTAGGCACATCGGATGTGTGATCTTTAGATGTCTGAATAGTATGAACTGTATGCCTTTCTGGAGCCAATTCTGATCGTGACATTTCTTGTTTCTTCACTGCATTAATTTCTGGAGAAGCTCTTGAAGCAAGAGTTTGTGGTTTCACAGATGACAGAAAATATGGCGGTGTTTCTGAGCTCCTAGTTTCATCAAAAGGATGCGCTAAAGTCCTTTCGGATTCTTTAGATGGAAATCCTTGTTTCATACTTTCTTTTGTGATATCTACTGAACCACCTTTCAAGAGCTCTGAGTCTTTGAACTGTTCTTTTTCTTCATTGTGATCTGGCATATCTCGGTTTGACTTTTCTAACACTAGATTTCCTTCCTGAGACAAAGAGTGGTTCTTTATTTCATCATGACAAGAAAGATCCAGTGGCAGGAAAGTCTTGGTTTTCTCCACCAAAACTTTACTTTCTTCTAAAGGATGTGGTTGGGTTCCTACTGCCTTTGTTTCTCTGACTTCTGAGTGAGCCTCTGAGAGCATGGCTTCTGATTTTTCAGTAACTGATGTAGCTTTAACTAATGAAAATGACTGAGTTTCACCCAAAGAATGACCTAAAGAGATATCTGATTTTTCAGTCATAGACTCGGCTACATTCACAGAATAAGGCTGATGTTTCTGCTGCTTCTTTCCTTCTGAAAGCACATATACCTGATTTTCTTTTTCTTCTCCTTTCTCCTTTTCAGAACCAACAACGATTTTGGGTCTTTCACTGTAGTCTTCATTTTGATAGAAGTGCTGTGGCATAGCATTGACTTTTGATTCTTCCTGTTCAACAGATCTAGATCCACGTGTAATTTGTGTCTTCCCTATTTCATTACTATCTCTAAGCTCTAATGGGACCACAGAATCTTGTTTTTCTGCCATCACCTTCTTTTCTACAAAGGTATCTGACCTGTTTTCCAAATTATCTTTCTTAGTTGGACTAATAGACCTGAGTTTTGTTTCCTCTTCGAAAATTTTCAAGGAAGTAGGTTTTTGCATTTCTTTCTTTAGTCTATCTTCACTGAGATCAATTAAACTGCCTTTTGATTCTTCTACTGGCAAAATAATTGACTCTGGTTTCTCTGATTCCTTTGTGATATTTTTACTTGCAAAGTTGGAGGAAGCTAGTTTTGGCTGTTGTGGCACCTTATCTACTACATCAAATGAAAGGAGTGATTTTTCTTTTTGATCACTTCTTGGCTGTTCCTTAAAAATAGAAATATTCCAATTAGATGGAGGAGAGATTGCTGGCTTCTGGACTCCTTTACTATGAGTAACATGAAGAGGAACAACAGTTTTGGCTTCTTCCATAACCAATTTCTCACTGATTAGTGAATAAGGTTGAATTCCAAGATGTTTCTCACCATCAGCAGAAGTAACTACTGAGTTTATGCTCATTTCCTCTGAATCGCCTGAGATTTCTTTCTTTCCATAATCTTCCCTAGACACCTCAAAAATGGATTTTGGCTGTTGTAAATCTTCTAAATTTGATAAAATTGTGGATTTTTCTTTAACATTTTGACCCTCATCAAATTTTACTAAAGTACCTCTGGATTCATCAACAGTTTTAAATTTTACTTCTGATAATGAATGATCAGCTGGTTTCTCGGCTACATTAAAATTAGCAGGAATTGTACCTTCAGGCTCTATCACAGTCACTGCTGTTTCTACAGATGGACTTGGCTGTGTTTCTAAGTCTTCTTGTTCAGCAACTTTGTTATCTGGCGTGCTTGATCCAAAAAACAAGCTGGACATCCACGATTTGAAAGATGAAAGTCCTTTCTTTCCCTTTTCCTCAGGAAGGTCTGGCTTAGCTACCTTTGGCTGCGTGGGTGACTTTTGCGTCACCTCAGGTGACTCTAGGGGTTGAGGCTCTTTTGCGTCAATTGAGGAGATGGGTTTTCTTTGTGTGGGTATTTTCACTTCAGGTTCTGGTTTCTTTCCCTCATCAGCATCATTGATAACCTTCGACTGAACCATTTTTGATTCTTCCAATGGCTTCTCTCCAGGAAAAGGAGGTGTGCACCTGTGTGATTCTTTTTCATTGCCCAGTGCAGGTTCCACACCTTCTGCCAGGAAATGGGCTGTTTTGACAGAGGAGGGGATTGTTTCTGACTTCACCTGTTCCACTGATGGGCCAGACACTGATTTCTGGAGGAATCTTTCGGGAGGTAGTTTAACTTTTTCCTGGCTATCTTCTTTGGAAGGGCAGGAAAACTCTGTGTTTGCTTTCTCCAATAGCAAGCTTTCACTCTCCGTGAAAGAATGACTCTCCTTCTTCTCTGGTACATTTCTCTCTACATTTCCAGCTAGAACTAAAGACTTTGGTTCTTCAGCCAGCTTTACTTCTTCAGAAGAGTAACTTTGACTTGATAAGGACTCTACATTACCACTGGAAGTATCAAGAGCAGATACTGGTTCTTGTGATGACAAATGAGATTCTTCAGCAGAATCTGGCAGGACCTGCTTTCTGACCTCACAAGTAAGGTCCTTACTGGGCACAGCAGCCTGGAGCTGCCCTGGCCTCAGCTCATTGCTGCCAGAGGAATCCAGCTGCACAGATCCTGCTTTTCTCTCTTCGTGTTGATAAGCCATATGTTCTGGCTTTCCCAACATCCAGTTTTCATCCTTTGGAGAAATAAAGAATTCTTCCCTTCTTGTTTCTTTGATATCCACGGGCTTGGCTGTCATAAATGATTTTGATTGTTCCAAAGGCAAATTCTCTTTCATAAATGAAAATTGCTTAATATCCAAATCTTGTTTACCTGCAAAAGAGGTGCTTATGTCAGGTAATTTAATAGTTTGATCTGAGTGAAGTGCTTTTTCTGTCTTCTTTTGTTCCACAAGGAGGTCAGAAGGAGCAATCTTTGAAGGTTCTGTTATACTCTGGAGTACCTGGGATGAATCTGGGTGGCCTGTTTCTTCACTTAGCTTAGCTGCAACATCTCCCATGACTTGTGCCTTCAAATTTCCTGGTGATGGTAATGGGCCTATTTCTTGATTTTCTCCCTTTTTAAAGTCGGCTGAATGGCTCAACTCCTCTGATAATCCTTTTAAAGAAAAACTAAATGGCTGAAATTCTTCTGGGTTGTCTCCTTCAGCTAGAGAGGTAGGTGTTTCTTTTGACTCTAGGCTGACGATCTTGGGGGAGAAAGACTTAATTTCTTCATTTTGAGATTCCTCCCTAAGCAATGATGAAAGCTCAGAAATTACAGGCATCGTAGCAGATGCATAAAATTCTCTATTTTCTTCTTTTCTTTCTCTGCTCCTAAGCTTAGCTAGGCCTTTTTCTAAAACAGAATCCCCCGTCTCAGTTATGGGAGATTTTGCTTGTTTTGTACCTATGGATCCACTTTGCCTACCTAAACCACTAGCAAATTCTGACCCAGCATTTGGTAATTCCGATGGTTGGTGTGGCTTGTCTTTCTTCTCCGGTTCCAAAGACAGCTGTGCCAAAGCAACGTCTTGTTTTTCTGATGGGAAGTCTCCCTGAGCTGAAGAAGATACCTCCACTGCATGTTTGTTCTTATCATCACTGAGGAGCAGTACTGCTGGGGCCAAACCTGATGCTAAATTTTCTAGTTCAGGAGGTGAACTTGCTATTTCCTCATCTCTGCCTTTTGGAACTATATGTTTGGGTGCAGGTGACACATTTTGTGATGAAGGAAGTTTAGTTTCTTCCTTCTTTATCTCACCCTCTAGGCCAAGTGAAAGCTCATTTTCAGGCCCCAGCACCTCTGAGGTAGACACCAAGCTCTTTTTCTGTGATGAAACCAAACGTTCAGAGTCACGAACTATAGAATATGAAAGACCTTGTTTGTCTTCTACCCTTCCTTCCTCGGATTCATCTGAATGCTGGGAAGATGATGTTTTGATTATTGGCAACCCAGCTTTAACTCCTTTGGCTTCTGCTTCTGACAAAACAGAATGCTCTGCTATAGAGGAGACACTTGGAGGTGAATCAAATTTAATTTCCTTCTCTGCTTCTGACCAAGCCAAATGTTTGGATGACGTTTCAATGGGAGAAGCACCTTTAACTGCCACCTTGTCTTCTTCTGCAAGAACTGAATGCTCATCTGAAGATGTTACCAGTGGTGGCAAACCACTTTCTAATTCACCCTTTCCTACTTTTGTTAAGACTGGACGATCTACAGAAGTGACAAGAGATAAATCTGTTGGGATTTCTTCTTTTCCTAATTTGGTTAAGTTTGAATCAAGCTTAGCTACAATTGCTGTGGTTGTTGAGGAACCGGGTTCAAGTTCTTTGTTAATTTCTTCTGACAAAGCTGAAAATGCTAGTGCAGGTAGACCATGTTCAACTTGCTTGTCTACTCCTGAGGAAGCTGAATCAAGCACTGAAGGTGTACTCATTATTTTAGAATCATGTTTCATCTCCATTTTCACTGCTGGTAAAACCCCAGGTCCAGATAAAGATGTTTCCTTTAGAGGTGAATATGGTTTTATAACTTCAGGCTCATTCTTGGACAACTTTCCCTGTTCTAGTTCAGAAGTCACATTTAGAACTAATTTGGGCTTGACACCCTTCTTTGGCTCATCTACCACGTCAGGCAAAATTGAATATTTTGTCTCAGACCCTGGAACATTTGGAGGCTGAGGCTCCATTTTTTGATCCTGTGATACATGTGCTGTAGCTTCTTGAGAATCAGGCACAATTTCTTCCTTTCTGACTTTTGGCAAAGCCATCTGTTCATCTACAGCTTTTAGAGTGAGTGCTACTGTGGGTTCCTGTTCTTTCTTAATTGCAGGGACTGAATCAGGTGAAACCGAATGTGGAGATGCAGGTTTGGTTTCTTCCTTTACTACAGATGACTGTACAAGTAAAGAAGCAGGTATTGCAGCTACTGATGAACTCGCCTCTCTTTCTCCCTTCTCCACTTCACTGGTTAAATGTGAAGGAATCAAGTCTTCAGACTTAGGCTCTAAAGATGCTTGAGTTTTCTGCTTCTGTGCCAAAATGAGATATTCAGATACAGATGCTGAGGTTGCTGGAATCTCTGGCTTAGTTTCTGCTTTCCCTGATTTATCTGTTGAAGGTGGCAAACTCAAGTCTTCAAGCGGAGACACTGAAGGGAAAGTTTCAGCTTTTTGCTTCTGTGATGAACTGTACAGTTCAGGCACAGGTGTAGCAGCTGTAGATCCAATGTCTTCCTCATCTGCTCCTGGAAAGCAGGAATAACCTGAAACAGACACCGCAGTTAATAGTGAATCAGGCTCAAAATCATTTTTCTCCCTCTCTGGGATTCTAAATGGAGGGATTGAAACTTGTGATGCCGAGTCTGGAGAGAACAGTTCAGCTTCTTCAGTGTCTTCATCTGAAAAAATAGTGTGCTCAGATGGCGATGTTAAACACATTGGAGAATCGCATTCAAATTCTCTTTTCTCTGCTTCCTGTGTTGCATATGGTGGAAATGAGAATTCTGACACAAATGCAGAATCGGGAGAAAAAGGTCCAATGTCTTCTTGATCTTCTTCTGATGAATTCACGGGTGAGGATGCGCCTTTTACGTTTAGAGATCTGTGGACAATTTCTTCCTCCTGTGACTCCGGTGTTGCATATGGTGGTATTGAAAATTCAGAAGCAGATGTGGAAGAGGGTGTATACCGCTCCAGCTCAACTGTCTCTTCGTTTAATAGAACCCCACGTTCAGATGGAGTGGCTGAAAGTGGTGGGGCCTGGTGTTCAGAAGTCATCTCAGTTGTGTGCGGTGGGAAAGAGTGTTCAGATGCAGCGACTGAATCTGGGGAAGATAGTTCAATGTCCTCCTTTCCTTCTTCGGACAGAATTGTGCACTCAGAAATACCTTCTGGTTTGAATTGGGATGCCTCATCGATTATTTTCTTTTGTGGTTCCTGTGTTGCATTGAGTGGGGTTGCATATTTGGAAGCCAACTTTGAATCCGGTGTGAAACGTTCACTTCCTAGGTCCTCTCTCTCTGATGGGACCACGTGTTCTGACATGGCAGTAGAAGTCAGTGGTGACTGGCATTCAGAAGTCTTCTTGGTTGCGGATGGTGAGAAAGAGGGCTGAGAAGCAGAGGCTGCAGCTGGAGTAAATGATCCAGTGTCTTCCTTCTCTTCTGATGGAATCATGTGCTCAGAAACATCTTTTGATATTAACGGGGACTTATGGTCAATTATTTTCTTCAGTGACTCTTTTGTTGCCTGTGATGGAGCTGAATATTCAGAAGCAGATGTGGAGTCTGGTGTGTAACGCCCACTTTCTGAGGCCTCATCTCCTGATAGGACCATGTGTTCTGGTGTAACTGTTGAAAACAGCGGAGACTGGCTCTCTGAAGTCTTAGTTGTGAACGGTGAGAGAGAGCTCTCAGACGCAGAGGCTGCAGCTGGGGAATAAGCCTCAAATTCTTCATTCTCTTCTTCTGACAAAACTGCATGTTCAGCTATAGCTTCTACATTGGATGGGGAAACTGCCTCACCTTCTCGCTTCTCTAGTTCCTGGTTCAAATCTTGTAGTACTGAATACTCTGATACAAAAGCAGAATCAGTAGAAACTGATGCAATTTCCTCTCTTTCTTCCTCAGACAAAGCAACATGTTCGGGAGTTGATATCAATAACGGTAGAATAAGCTCCTCTTCTTTGTGCTCCACTTCAGGGGACATACATGGTGGGAAGGGCTTCTCGGAAACTAATGGGCTTTCCGGGTAATCAAGTTCTATGGTCTCTTCTTCTACTAAATTAGAATCTTCAGGTTCAGGGGTAGCAGCTATGGGTAGGGAAGTTTCTATTTCTTCTTCCTGTGGTTCTTCTAACATTAGAGGTTCAGAAAGAGAAATGGATGGCTCGAGCACGTTTTCCTCCTTCTCTCCTTTGACAGTGGGCTGTGCAGGGGTCAGTTTTGCAGAGGCTGGTTCTGCCCTTTGTGAAGTCATGTCTGGGTGTTCTTGGTCTGGGTCCAAATCCTCCTGGGTAGTTGCTGCCAAACCTGGTGAATCTGCCTCCACAGAAATGGAATGGTGAGCAGAATACACATCTTCCTTCTTCACCTCATTAGCAAATGAAGGTGAGACTGAAGAGTCACTGGCTGAAGCTGCAGTTCCTTGTGAAGCAACCTCACATTCTTCCTTTGCTGTTCTCAGGAACGCAGTTGCAGGTGAGGGAGGCTCTACTTCACAGGGTTTTGCTTCATCCTCTGGCTGTTGTGGCACTGACTGTGAAGGCCTGAGCTGTAGTTCTTGTTCTGCTCTGTCACTACTTGAATAAGAGGGCACTGTGTGTTCCAATGCAGATGTGGCATTTAGGGGAGAATCAGGAAAAATTTTCTTTTGATCTTTATGACTGAACATTGAGGGTAGGGACTCTGATCCTTTGGAGAGTGTGCCTCTCCAGGGTGGAACAACCTCTTTTACTTTATCCTCTATGCTTTGGGCTACTAATTTTCTTGTTTTGTAAACTGTATTAGCATCACTGTTGTCCAAATCTGGCTCTAGACTAATGGATGCATCTTTCCCTTTCCTATAATGTATTTCTTTAATTACATAACCCTTTGGCAATGTTCCATAAAACTGTAGAGGAATTAATTCTTCTTTAACCGAATTAAACATCTTAATTTTATATTGTACTGTTCCTATGTAGACTGGTCGTAATACTAAAGGCTTGTGTTCTTTGTATATTGCCCCAGTAATTGGAGGTGTATTTGAAGTGGTCTTCTTTTTTCTTGTTTTATCATAAATGCCAGACTTCTCTTTCTCCATGGTTAGTACCTGGCTTGCTGAAGTTAAAGGACTGTCTTTTTTGTTTGTTGGAACATCTTGGGATTCAAAAGAATTCCTTTTTTTGTTGCCTTTCCGGCGTAATGATGGTGAACCATGTTTTGACTTATGAGTCCTTTTCCGAGGCTTTTTCACTTCATCCACAATAAAGGAAACATTTCCAGGAGGAGAATTCACAGTTGACCCTTCCCGACTACATACACCGGAAGTCTGACTTTCTTCCGAGGCCCAAGGAGTAGAAGATCTACTTGAATTGGTTTCCCAGGTTATCCCACTATCTTCCCTTTGGACGGTCACCATGGAAAAGGAGGGGTCAGATATGATACACTCCTGCTTGATCTTTCCCTCTTCATCCTGGTCTGATAACCTACAGCAAATAATAATATTATGTATTATAATAAAATAGTATTAACTAATTAATAGAATAAGTAAGTTTATTTTTATCAGGTAAAGGATCAATGTGAAATTAAAATATGGACATCAAAATTGCCATCCATGTCAAAAAGAGGGATGCATATCAAATAAAGTTTAAAAACCAAAGTCAGGATATCCAATACAATGACACATCCCAGGCTAGAGTGACTCACTGTTCCACAAACTCAAAAAAGCTAAAGTTAAATTCACTAACTTCTCTCATCAGGATTGCCTTCCTGAGGGGCTCAGCAGTCACTCAAGCCCACCCTCGTCACTGGGATCTTCATAATAACTCTTGCATCTGTGTTCTCTCTGTTACCAAGATCACCACCTCACCTAGCTTTTCACCATTTCCCTCATAGTCACCGCCATCAGCTTCCTAACTGGTCAGCTGGCATCACAAGTACATCACTTTCCCCCACTCTCAACCCATCCTGCCCATCCCCCCCAGACAGGCTTTACTCAACAGTTAAACATGCCACCCCCTGCTTTAAAATGTCAGCAAATTCTTCATACCTACAGAAAAAAAAAGATGTTCAAAATCCTTGGTTCTCTGATCCCTATCTGATATTCTTTCCAAGCATCCACCTGGACCCTACCCTTACAGGTAAATTCCTGTTTTAACAATAATTCGCTGATCTGCGAATAGCTCTTGGGAACTCTGAGTCATGATAAAGGGAAAACACGTCATTGAATAGAGAGAGGCCACAAAAAATGTCAGCCTACTGTGCTTCACTTTCCTCATCTACAAAACGGAGGTAATAATAGAACCTATCTTGTGAGCTTGTTGTGAAGATTAAATTAGTTATCCACGTGAAATGTTTAGGGGATGTTCCTGGCATGTAGTTAGTGTTCAATAAGCGTTACCTGTAGTCAGGCCTTCCTGATTACAGATGATGAAAGGGGACTGGGCATGGTCGTTTCCAGCTGCTGCAGGATATAGGAGTGTAGAAAGGCTGTGTCCGTGGACTGCTCTCACAGCCCTTCTGAGACCACTAGCTATGGCCACCCCTTCACTTGCTATTGGGCCCCCATCTCAGACTTGGCAGTGCTCTTCTTTGAAATTGTCTTCTGCCTCTTTCTCACCTTTACTTATGCTGTTCCTCCATTTAGAATGCATAGCCCTCACCATCCTCCACTTCTGCAACTGTAAATTCGACCTGCTCCTTCGGGCTGGATTTAAATTCCTCTGCTGTTACCATTCCTGACTAATGCGGCAGCCACGTTTCCCATCACTTCACAAACATATTTCCTCCTAGGAACACGGGAGATGAATCCCATCCATTGACTGTCTTACATTTGTCTACGACAATAAAATCAAAAAACCCTCTGCTAAAACCACTAAACGTAAGTGTTAAATTAAGGCAACTAAAAAAAAATCTACAGTTCGATTTCTATCCCTTAGTAAATTGTTTTTATCATTAGTCACTGCATATATCAAAGGTTCTTAACTCTGAAACATTATAAAATCACCTGTGGAAAGGTTTTTAAAAATACTTATACTGCTCCATACCTTTCTCCACGGAGATTCTGATTTAATTGTACAAGGGTCTGGTCTGCACACTGCTACGTTTTTAGATTTTAAAAGCTGCCAGGCAACTACAATAAGTATTCAGAATTGAAAATCACTGGCCTGGCTAGGCACAGTGGCTCACACTTATAATCCCAGCACTTTGGGAGGCTGAGACAGGTGGATCACCTGAGGTCAGGAGTTCAAGACCAGCCTGACCAACGTGGTAAAACCCCATCTCTACTAAAATTACAAAAATTAGCCAGGTGTGGTGGCAGGTGCCTGTAATCCCAGCTACTTGGAAGGCTGAGACAGGAGAATCGCTTGAACCCGGAAGGCAGAGATTGCAGTGAGCCGAGATCACGCCATTGCACTCCGGCCTGGGTGACAAGAGTGAAACTCTGTCTCAAAAAAGAAAAGGAAAAGAGGAAAAAAAAAAATCACTGGCCTAAACAATCCTAGCTCTGGTACTTAAATAGCACATATCTTTCTTTCTCACTGTAAACGCTTCCTGGTTTGTTAGGTTGGGTGGGGACCAGGAACGTTAAGTCCTTGCAGGTGCACTCACTTCCCTTATTAAGCTTCAGAGTTTCCCCAGCAGTATACTGCAAAGGAGTTATGGCTGTCCTGAGATCCTGATCTCCTCAAGTCTCAGCATAGCCATGGGAAGCCTAGGGCAGCCAGACCCCTTGGGCCACTAGCCTGCAATAGCAAGCAGCCTGATCCCTTCACCCTAGTGTGCTATGAATTCTAACATTTTCTATACATGCCATGAGTGAAGGGTCAGGAAGTAGTCTCTCTATTTCCCCACAACTCTGCTCTCACTCATTTGCTTTGGTATTAAACTGCTGAACTTAATTAGGAATTAATACTCTGTCTTGGTCCTGAATTGAATCTTATTTTGTTTTTTCAGGCTCTTTTACATACTTAATTAAAACTATTACACCAAATTTTCAACTCATACTACATCTTCTTTCTTCCCTGTCACTTAGAAATAGGATGAAATTAAAAATTAAGGTTATGACATGCATCTGGGAAGTCAGCATTTTGAATGCCCATGATTGTAGAAGCATTATAAAATTCAATTATGAATTCAATTTAGAGTTAACTATTGACTGTAAATTCAGTGTGCCCAACCAGAGAAGTTTTCATTACCAGCTAGAATGAGTTCACCAGTGCTGGGGAGAGAACACACATATGGTCACAAGCCAGGCGAGGCCTACTCAGGTGGATTCACTCACCCAATCGTTGCTTATTCATTTTCATTCATTAATCTATTTCTTCACTTAATAAACTTTTATTGATTTCAGGCACTAGGAGTACAAATATAAAGCCACAGAACCTTCTAAGAAACTCAAAATCTAATCAGAAGAGACAACTAAACATTCTTTTTAAATTTTCATTTTAAAAAACTTATTATTTTATTTTATTTTATGAGACAGAGTCTCGCTCTGTCACCCAGGCAGGAGTGCAGGGGCACAATCTCGGCTCACTGTGACCTCCACGTCCCGGGTTCAAGTGATTCCCATGCCTCAGCCTCCAAAGTAGCTGGGATTACAGGTGTGTGCCATAGTGCCCGGCTAATTTTTTGTATTTTTAGTAGAGATGGGGTTTCACCATGTTGGCCAGGCTGGTCTCAAACTCCTGGCCTCAAGTGATCCACCCACCTCAGCCTTCCAAAGTGTTAGGATTACAGGCACGGGCTACCATACCCTGCCTCCATTTTTACTTTAGATTCAGGAGGCACATGTGCAGGTTTGTTACATGGGTATATGGTATGATGCTGAGTTTGGAGCTTCTATGAATCCCATCACCCAAATAGTGAACACAGTACCCAATGTGTTTTTTAGCTCTTACCCCTTTCTCCTCCCCACTTTTGGAGTCTCCAGTGTCTACTGTGCCCATGTTTATGTCCATGTGTACCCAAGATTTGGCCTCCCACTTATAAGCAAGAACATGCAATATTTGGTTTTCTGTTTCTGCTTCCTTTGCTTAGGATGATGGCCTCCAACTGCATTCATGTTGCTGCAAAGGCCATGATTTAGTTCTTATTTATGTCTGCCTAATATTCTATGGTGTATATGTACCATATTTTCTTTATCCAGTCCATCGTTGATGGGCACGGAGGTTGATTCCATGTCTTTTCTATTGTGAATAGTGCTGCAATGAACATGAGTGCACACACATGTCTTTTTGGTAGAATGATTTCTTTTCCTTTGGGTTTATGCCCAGCAATTTCATTGCGGAGTTGAATGTTAAGAACATTTTAATACAATGTGATAAGTACTTTTACAGAAGATAGGCAAGATATAATTAGAACATAAAGGGAAGACTTCAGAGGAAAAGTACTCGAGTTGGTTTGCAGAAGAAATAGGAGTTTGCTAAGTAAACGAAGATAGGAGATGGTATAAGGAGGGGGAGGTCATTATGAGAAAAGGTCATAGGATATGCAAAATGTAACATAAATAAACAGTCTGGCTCATTGAGAGACCCAAAGCTGAATTACAGATCAACAGACACTAGAGAATGACTATACAGTATTAGCATGTGTAAAGCCATGGCAGTATTACACTCAGTCTAAAGCAACAATGTATTAACAGAAGAGAAATGGTCACTATACAATTCAACGTTCCCATCTATGTACATATCAGCTTTTCATAGCTAAAAGATACAGGCTATAAAAATCATCTGATCCATTCCCCTCTGACTACATTCTCACAAAGCAACCTTCTGATTATCAGTTAGCATCCTACATAGATGTATCTATAGGAGTGTCGTGAGACAAATAATGACTTTGAGAAGCTCACTTCCTACCCCCTTTCAGTGCTAGGCAAGAAGGTTCAACTGATCTGAGTTAGATCAAGTAAACAGGCTGATTCCAGAAATGAGTGTCAAAGGCTCCCCTTTCATTTGAAGGATAACCCTCATCTGATGAAGGAAGTTTACTTCTATTCCTATTTGCTAAGGCAGTTTTTTTAATGATGAATGAATGTTAAGTTTTATTAAACAAATACATTGTTTTTAAATGGAGTTTTGCTCTTGTTGCCCAGGCTGGAGTGCAATGGTGTGATCTCGGCTCACTGCAACATCCGCCTCCTGGGTTCAAGCAATTCTCCTGCCTCAGCCTCCCAAGTAGCTGGGATTAAAGGTATAGACCACCGGCTAATTTTGTATTTTTTTTAGTAAAGATGGGGTTTCATCATGTTGATCAGGCTGGTCTTGAACTCCTGATCTCAGGTGATCCACCCGCCTCAGCCTCCCAAAGTGCTGGGATTACAGGTGTGGGGACCACACCCAGCTGATTAAACAATTTTTTATGAAACTATGGAAATTATCATATTTTCTTTCCTATCCTGTTAATGCGATGAATTACAGTGATTGATATCCAAATAACAAACCTATCTTGAACTCCTAAACTGAACTCAACATGGCTATGATATATT